CACTTTTTCAAAAATGCAAAGATTCTTGGCACACTTTTTCAAAGATGCAAAGATCCTTGCACACTTTGAAAAAGTGTGCAAGAACCCATATATAACGAATATGTACGCTGCGGAATAGTTCCCTTTCTTTCCATCCAACTGCGAATGTAACTGGCAAAGGTCTGTGCGACAGCTGCTGCGAAAGTTCATAGCCACTTTTATAACCAGAAACGTACGACGGAAAAAAACTTTCAAACATAAAATCGTTAACTTTGCATGGCTCAAGTCTTCAAAGATATCTAAAATGCATTTCATCCGCTTGAAAAACACGCAGACTATTTTATACTGCAGCTAACAGAACGTAGTCATTTTCAAGTAATTTGTAAGTAGCCGAAGATACGGTAGCAATAAGAGAAAAAGAACTCCTTAATAATACTTATTAAGGAGGCCGCCTGGCTGGGAGTAAAAAAAATCCATTTTTTTGCGTTTTCTCAAATAATAACTATTCAAGAGCATTTTTCTGAAAATTTGAATGCGATTTCTTGAAAATTCTTGGGGTTATAGTGGTTTAAGCGAACTAGTTCCGAGATAAGTTTTTGAGCGCTTAAATGCGACCGGCGGTTATATTATAATAAACCTGGATTCGATTATATAATACTTAGAATATAAAGGTGATATAAAAGACTGTTGGCAAATGTTTCTAGAACAGATGTTTTTAAGCAGCATGAACCCTTTTTATGGTCCAGAAATCTCCGATTAAAAAAAAGACCTATTGTAAATACAAAAAAAAAACAAAAATATGTTAATAGGAAACTTTAACGTGTTTTTCTCGAAACGTGATTTTTTAATTTTGCTGACAGTGTAGAAGGAAAACGGCTCAATGCTCGACTTGGGCTTTTGACATATAAATTATAAGTATTTTTTCCGTTAAGTCTAACAAAATAATAAATTTTTGAAAAATGATATCTTTTTTGATAATTTAATTACAATAATTTAATTACATTTTAATTTAAAAACAATAATACAAAAATGAACTTTTGATAACGGCATAATTTTACCAATTCGCATTTTTTTATGATTTTTTATAATAGGTTTAGCATATAGCGTTTATCATTATTAATTACAAATTAACTTGTCTTTTTTTTTCTTTTTTTCAAACGACCTATTTTGGCTTTGCAGTATCAGTAATTTGATAAGATCAGTGTGAACACGTCTGCTGCCCCTGCAGATATCTCGATTATTTCATATTGTTTTCGTATATTAAAATTCATCGATATTCTTTGAAGTATAAATCAAATATGTGTACAAACATGAAATCGATAGCAACAACTGTTTTTCTAAAAAAAATGCATGAAAATCGTTGTTTTTTTGCCGCTTCCAAACCAGGCGGCCCTTAATATACAAATATTAATAACGTATATTATACATATCCATTTTATAATTATATAATATTTTCATAAAAATCTTTTCCCTATAACTAAAACTGCTAGTCATCGATAAAATTATGACGACATTGAGGCTGTTAAATCAGAAGATGCAAATAAATGTTTTTCGAACGAATTTATGCAATATAAATGATGCAAAACGCATTCATTTATGCTGCATAGAGGTAAGCGTTCGCAATTTTATTGAATATTCATATTCGTTTCGCCGATGGACAGAAGGTAAACAGTAAACAATGTAAATGTGATGAAGGATTGAGAAATAGCACGATTTTCTTTTCGAGAGTCTAGGTTGAGATATGCTTTACAACTAGACCAGAAATTCCATTCAACATTCTGCCCACTGTAAAGAACGAGTTTCATGACCTTCGAATTCCGTTCTTTGTCATGTAAATATTTCCGCCGATTTTAAATTACTTTCTTCTTCGCCAAAGTTTTTCGCACAATTTTGCAGAAATTAAAATCAAAATCTCCGTTCTTTTGTCGTGTAAAATATCGCTGCCGATTCTAAATTATTTTCTTCTTTGCCAAAGTGTTTCGCATAGTTTCGCAGAAATTGTATTTAATAAATTATTAAATTGTAATTATACTATATATTAACAAGTAAAAATACAGTTATTTGTATTTTCGTAAATTATTTCATCAGATATGTAAAAATGCTTTATAGCATTTTACAAGTCAGTCTTCTTTAATGTCAATGACAAAAACATCTGTTACTCTCTTTCTCTCTCTCACCATAATAATAAATATAATTGGATAATGTGTTATATTCATCAGACCTTTCTGCAATTCTTAATTCTTAGTAAGGAAAATTATACGCATTAGTTTTGTTGGCAACAGATTTCTTTGATTATCTCGCGCGCAGTTAAGTATACACGTGGGGCGGTCTGTTTTTAAACAGATAAATGTGCAACTACATATCTATATAGTATATGCTTTCTGTCGCATGATATTTAACTGCGTACATTACAACTAAAAAAACATATTTAAGTTTTATGTTTAAATTTAAATCTTCTTATTCTAATAAATTAAATAGCTTTTATAAGATTTTGTAATCGAATAAAAATTGTACGAATTAACAAAATTATACAAATTAACATTATTCAATAAATGTATATATAATCTCTGTAATTAAATTATTTATTTTTTGAATATTTCTTGTACCTTTCTAAAATAAATAATGTATGGTAAATGCATGATTATATAACATTTCAGCGTATTTTAAAATGTAGAGTACGTGTATAATCTCTCATATAATGATATACTTTATATACTGTATATTTATGAAATAATAAACATACACAAAAAAAACATGTTAGACAGAGAATACGTTATTTATGTAGTCTACAATAACGTAATAAATATTATGCGCGTTTTACGCGAGCAGTATATATTTAAATATATTATAATTTAAAGCTTGTTCGAGAACTCGTTTTTCGGCGAAAAAAACTTCAACAAATAATCATTTTAATTATTTTTAATAATTTTAATAATCATTAGCGAAAAGAAACCGTAATGACTCATATTTATTATGACGATAAAATATATATATTGACCAATAATTGATTGTTGCAACAAGAGAGAGATAGAAGTCGAGTTCAACGACAAATTTATAACTTCCATTGTATTATTTTCCATGGAAAATATTATTAAACCAATCAAACTAAATATCGTTAAGCTTTATTATGGAAATATACGAATGAATAGCAAATACGCGCAGAAATCAATTATAGTCTAATAATTCGCTTTCTCTCTCGTGGCTTTTATTGGGTTTATTCCAATAAATTCCACTAATTAAGCGGACTATCCTGTTATAGACCAGCTATAGCATTGAAAACCGCAGTCTTTACAATCGCAAGTTTTTAAACGTAAAGCTATACGTATGTTTTGTCTCGAGATTATCTTGATCAAAGATTATCTAATATCAACAATAGTAATTCCAGCTATAGTATTCAATGACCGACTCAAAATATTAGCGAACAGAGAAGATAATAATTGTCCCGCATAATAAAGATCTTTCTTGATGCGTGACAACAATGAGCTTTATATATTTTTATATATTTGCCTGCATATATGTATTAATTGTAAGATTAATTATATGGGCCGATATACAGGATTGAAGAGAAGTTACAAATCGGGAATTAAAGTTACAAATTAAAACGTCCAGAGAAAGTATAAACATCACACATAGAATTGAAGAACGAGAATCGAATTATAATTACACCAATTCACCTTTAGAGAAAATATATTAACAGATACACGAGAGTAACTGTTTTCTGTTTAACTAAAAAAAATAATGATTCATCATGTTCACTTATCGCTATTTTGCATTAAATTAAGATACGCGATGGAGCAAGGAGCGAACAAGTTTGAGAAACCCTGCTTTTGTAGGTATTCTCACATAACTTTACGTTTAAGGTTCTATTTTGTTGCTATATAATTGGACCATAACACAATAGTCCGCTCAATTAGTGGAATTTATTGGAATAAATTCAATCGAGTTTTGCAATTATCGTCACGTAATGATATCGTACAATAATTTATTGCGTAGTAATTCAATTTATACGTAGACAAAAATCAAATTACGACAATCTTTGTCGAATTTATATATATATATATATTGTATGTAAAATTTTTCGTAGTATCATCCGCCGTTTTCCACGATCTCACGATTTCTTACTCGGAAAATGAAGAAAGAATGATGTCATACTTTATGTACCATCCTACGTCGCGTAACCAAATGTAAATAGATGATAATTACAATATATAACGCAACAGTCTTTTGTGTAATACTGTATGTAGGATTTTGCGTGATACTTTGTACGTGCTAGGTACATATTGCGATGTATGTTTTCGCAAGAAAAAATTTGATGAATTTTTACTTCAAAAAGATGATATTGTACATCCCGATAGGAAGACATTGGTTATTTAAAATCAAAGCCACACATTTAGTAATGACTATTTGTTTTACTGTATTTATACATAATCAACAATATTTTGCTTTCAATCTTTGACGAAAATCTAATTATTATCCAATAACAATCTATCATTTATTTTTATCAATTAATTCATTTATTTTTATCAATTAATTCATTTATTTTTATCAGTTAATTCATTATACGATATGTAAAAAAATGTTCTTAAAAATAAATTGTATTTTATCTAAGAATTAAAGTCTCATCATTCTCAGAAAATATAAATTGTGCAATGAATGATAAAAGCAGGAAACAAATCAAATTAAATAATGATTGTAGATAAAAATAGTTATTTTAAACCATTGAAGAAATAAAAAGAATAGAAAGAAGAAAAATATTTTTACAGCCATATACCCTGAAAACTAAATTAGATATATTCAATTCTTTATCACATGAATTTGTTAATACATAGATTTAATCGAGTTGCATAACGGAAAAAAAAAGTTAATCGACGAAATTTAATTGTGAAAATTAGCTTAAATAATATAGCAGAGATTAGATGTGATAACAAAGTCTCTCATGTTACCCCATGTGTCACCTGTAGATATGTGACGCAACGAATACCTATTAGTGTGCGTATATAAAAGCGACCAACGCTACTTACCGTCTGTTTTAAGATCGACGCCATCCTGAATGGGGATGAGCCACAAGGGGAAGATGCCGGTGAGGCCGACCATGGTGCTGCCCAGTAGAGAGAATATCCATGGATTGTAGGATAAATATCCGACGATCTCGTGCCATAAAGACCATGCGTCCGTTCCTCCGGAAATGTCACACGAAAAATCTCCCGCGTCCGTGCAGTTGACAAAGCACGCGTATGATGCAGCAGCCATGTTTGTTGTTGCGTGTTCCTCTCTTTCTTTCTCTCTCGTTTCGTCAAGATCCTCGTGTCAACGCGGACGGGAACGCGAAATCAACGTTAATGTCTCGACTTTCGAGATTCCTCGTGATTCGACCTTGAAAACTATCCGTGAACAAGAAACCTTGAAATGCTACGAAGCCGGTGATCGAAACGTATCGCCGCTCTTTCCGGAACTAACCTCACCGCGACGAATGGACAGCCGCTATTTAAAAGGGCTTATCACGCTGTGCTGTATCGAGAAGACGATGTTATCGCTAACAATGACGTTCATAGTCCAGATTATGATATAGAGAGAGATTTCGGCGCGAAGCAGCCCTCGTCATATGTGCCTATGTGCATACGTCACTGCGTCGTAGATTCGTCTGCGCGATGATAATGAGGAGTCGTGGTGATGAAATGTTTGGAAAAATCGTGACAATGGATCGTCGAGCGACCGACTAGCCTACACTGAGGACTGAGTACGGACGCTTGGAATTAGGAGGCCGCCGCTGCCTGCCTCCTCGTTGATTCGCTACGGACCGTCGTTATTTCATAGCGTCGGGTTGACACAAAGGCACCGTCGACGCCGTGGCGAGTAACGCGTAATGACAGCGATCTCGAGGACGCACGATGCGTGCGTCCGCCCCGTCTCTCTACTTCCGTGCTCGATTAACTCGCGATTAACGCTCTTTCGTTCTTCGCTTTTCCGCGTGTAGACTCTATCGCGATCCTTCCCGTACTGCGACGATTCGACGACTGACGAAGACTGACGCGCGCTGCGTCATAAGCGGTCCATTTATAACCACGTTCGCGCATGCGCATAAACGAGACGGGCTGAGCGGATCCGCGCGCGACGAACGGAGATAAATGCGAAGAGAGAACTAAATGCAGAATCAGCGTGACGAGAAAAGACGAAGAAAAAGAGAGATAGAAAGAGAGGAAGAAAGGATCCAGAAACGTGATCTGTTGTATCTTCGAGATCGATAGAGGCGCTACTTTTCGAACGAAGATATTTGTTTCTCAAGGACCGGTTCCCCTTCGTCGATCAAATTTTAATACACTGTAACACTCTCCGCTTGCTTCTGTATTTAGAAACACGCGGAAAAGCTTGAATCACCGGATCACACAAAGACGATCGAAATTTTGATACCATCTTGGACAATACACGGATCGCGCCCGTGTCTCATATTCCTCTGAGCATCTTTCCTTACAATTACATTTTTTTTCGTATCACGATCCTATATATATCTGTAATAATCTATATTATTTGCTGATAAACGACTTATCCGACTGGCAGATAACGCGCAATGCTTCCCTCGTGATTCTAAAACGCGGAAAACAACTCATGTTATCTCGCACATGCGATATATCTGTGCTGAAAACACAGAGAATTTACAATATGTTGGAATTGAAATCGTATTATATTATTGTGTTCCGGTTACTTTATTTATGTATCGTAATCGTGTAACGTCCGAAGAGATATATACCTATTGTCCGCGTGTATCGCGTGATATTAATATATAGTGTTATAATTATACAGGGTGGTCCTTGTAACGGTCACCACGATTTTTAAGGCACTTACAATAATCTGACATAAAAAAGTCATAAACAGAAATTCTCAACTATCTTAAATATGTATCAACAATAATTCGTGCGAATGAAAACGTTATCTAACGGAGAACCGTCGAAGTAAAGCTTGCCCTCATGCTAGACTTCTCCTACATCGTTTTTGGCATGAACTTTTTACAGAGCTTGTGTTTTAATAAACCTTCTCGCTTGGGAATAGAATAGAATAGTGGAATTCGTGTCTCGAACAAATAAATTTCAAAATAAATAAATAAAATGTTGAAACAACTTCGTTTTTGTTTTCCTTCTCTCTTTTGTCCTCTTGTCTTGTTTATACTTGAGATATACGAGCGATTTAAATCGTTCTGACAAAAATTCAGAGATATATATATGTATATTTAAAATTTTTATAATATATTATTTTTAAGATATAATTAATATTTCTAATTATTGAAGATAGATAGTTTTGAATATGAAATACTGCAAAATAATTGGAACGACTTTTGATCATTTAGAGAAATTCTAATTTAAAAAAAGTATAATTACTTATTGTGTTGCATAATGTTTTATTTCAAAAAATACTTGAAAAGAATTATCGGGTACAACAATTAAAAATTATCGAACACGATGTGTTGATAACGATATATATAGATTGTAGATGAAATGATACCTTCTGATTAATTCAAATTTTTAAATGGCATATTTGTATATAAAAGTAATGTGAATGTTACTTATGTATAATATAATATACGAAGAATTCATATTTTTTTAGGATCATGGTAACATAATATATGTATATAGTAAAACATATTTTATTTTCATATAATCTATTTTATAGTTTCATTAAGATAAAGATTAAAAAAAATATATAATAAAATAATCAAAAATTGCATATTTATATATAAATTTTCTAAAATTCTGATAATATATATTATATATCTTAATTCGCGTAATCAAATTTCATTACAGGTGATAAAAAATTTTAAAAAAGATATATCTTTTTTTATATATTCATACTTAATCTATCAAACATGTTGACATAATATTATCTAAGTAATCTTCGATTGATTTCTTTAATTTAAAAGTTATAAAATTATTACCGAGTTATAATTACTTTCTCTTCGCGTGCGATAATAGTCGTAATTTTTGCAATTTACTAATCTTATCTATTTTATTATTTGTTACCCGTAAATAAGGAGGAAAGAAGCGTAATTCATTGCAAAGTATACATGTATTAAATTCACAATCAAATGCCAGCCAATAATTAGACGTTATTCTTTGGATAATCATCAAGTCACGAGCAAATATGGCATAAATCATACATACAATATAATGTTTATCGGTTTTTTCGATTCATCGATTCGAAAACACTGAGATTTATGTAACATCTTATTATCCAAGCATGCGACGCTAAAACTTCCTCAGTGTATATTTCACAGAAAAGATAATGAAAGATACCGAGCGCTCGCGCGATCGATAATTCGATACATAAATTCTATGCAACCATGTTTCCTACGTGAACAACTCTTTTGTTGTGAAATCTTACAATAGACGATTCATGTTATTTGTATCAAATGTTTGTAGATAGTTAACCACGTGAGGAAAATTTGAAAAAATAATCATAAATGTGCCCGGCAAAATTCTAAATATTAATTTTAATAAGCGTTATCACATCGTGTTCATTACAATTGATAAATATTAATGTACGTTTTAAATAAGCGTACATTATAATAAGGAATCTCAACTTAATTATATTTTTGACGCTATAGTTGCGAGAATTTGAAATCAAAATATTCACAAGTACGACATTCATTATATCATATTCATGAATGGTTTAAAATAGAGTAAAGATAGTCAACTATCTTATAAGAGACGGGGAAGATTGAAATATCTCCTACTTAGTTGGCATACATAAAGACGAATATTTTTAATTATTTCATTGAATTCTGTGCGGTTTATATTGATAACAGAAACTGTTAGCACTATTTTCAATACATCTTTAAATCATGTGACATCAGTGTAAAAATTACATAACTCCATACATCTTGTTTAGCATGACTTTAATTAATCACGTTGTAGACGGCAGAATGCCAAGGGTTTCCATTTGGACCTCGGTCAACAAGAAATTCACCATTGATGATGTCGACTACTTGATATCAGCACGATCCTGCAAGCTTGAATGAAAGAAAATTCATGAAAAGAATTTTGTGAAACTTGCAAAGCAAAATTATTTTCCCCGTGAGAATTTTTTATTTAAATATATTTTCTATGAGATTTTCTTGTATCATTATTATATCTAACCATAGATGAAAAATTAAAAATTGAATAATGCCAACAGACTTGCAGAAAAGTATTAAAAAAATAACTTCGAAAATCGTGGACTTAAAAAAAGAGATTATAGAGAGTTTGCCGATAGGTTTTACATATATATTGCAAATTTGGCTACACAAGAGGAAAAATCATGTTTCTCCTTCATCTTATAAAATAACTGTGGGAACTGTGTACATTATATGAATCATCATTATGTATCAGTTGCATCTTTTGGCAGCTTTCAGATTTTACAAGAGGGGATGAATATTTTAAAGAGACGCAATAAATTTTTTAATACTGGGCATTTCAACTTGATTTTTATATGATAAAATACATTTAAATAATGAAAAATGTCAACTCTATTCACCAAATAATTTTTCGGTTTCAATAAAACTTTTGACTTCTTTCTATTCTATCTGTTTCATATTTTTGAGAAAATTGAAAAAATAACACGTATATTATAAAATATCATAATATATTTGATGATGTAATCAAATTATCATCGAATCATATTTAAGTTGACGTGTATGAGAAAAAATTAATCAGTTCTTGGCTAAAGGTACGAGCAAAATTTATCAGCATGTTCATGGATAAAAGGAAAGGATACATGCGGCTGGTTCATTATCTTATTCCTATGATGTAAAAATACGTAAGACTTTCTCCTAAGTCCAACAGACCGTACATATGAAAGATATACCGGCTCTTCTCCTCGCTCGAATGATTCGTCTGCACGAAATACTTGTGCTAGCGGAGCACTCCAGTAAATCTATTTTCAGAAAGCTGCGAAAGAGAGAGAGACAGAAAAACATCGGATTATTTTAGTTACAATTTTTCCTCCGATCCGCAGAACGCGGGTGGACGTCTACGCGAATATCACGACGATGACTGAGTATGCTGCTACTTTTCGCCTATCGACAACGATCGCGCCCGTTCTCGACTAACGAGCTAAATGCATGAAAAAGTGAATTGCATCAAAGTTAGAGATTATTCGAATCTAACGAAATTTCGTGATGGTGACAAGGATTGCGAAACAACAAACGTCTACAAAATGTGAAAATGCAGATTAATGTGCTTGGCAATAGTGAAAAAATTATACGAAAATCGAGAACATGCATTTTTCCAATCGTAATATATAATCTGAATAACATTTATGAAATTTCTTTTTTATGTACAAAAAGCTACAATTTTCAATGTGTGCGAATTTATATTTCTTTCTCTCAAGTGTCGTGTGGGAAGTTTTATAACAAGTATGCAGAGACTTCGAGATCATCTTATGATTCTTTCTAAATTAATGTGTGCAAATTGTATTTGTCCTTTTACCGTTTGCATAAATAATAAATCATAGGTAAACTTTTCTTTTATGTATTGTATGCGTTCATTATTACTAGGTATTTCACAAAATAATAGCGTCAAAATTGTCCTCTGCTTCGCATCTTCGTTTTTCTCCTATTCGCAACTCGCCTAAGGATCGATTTAGGACTTTTTAATCGATTGTCTCGTCTTCATAATTTCGTCGTCATGGACCTGCGAAGAATGTCAAATTGGAATGTCTTGAGCGTGGAGGCTGCGTTGCAACAACTCAACGCCTTCGAAGGAGATGATTCCGAGAGGATAATAAGGCGTCCTAATACGGTAAGCAAATTTACTTTTGGAATATTTAATGATCGGCCTTCATTAAAAACAGAAAGATAATGAAACTATTGCGAAACAACAAATTTTTTGTCATAATGTAAATACGTATTAAAGTTACAAAATATCAGCTGTATACGAGTACTCTTTCTACGAGTGTCTCCACACTTCGTCATTTCTCCAGACATGTTTTAAAAATAAAAACTTCGAAAATAATTTGCTATTTGCGAATGTATCTATGGATTTTTATTCAAAAATACTCCAAATCGCAGATTTCAAAAATCAAGCATCGAGTTTTAAGGCTATCAAGTCTGAGTACGCAGTACGTTTGTATCTTCGAAT